GGTGCCAAGGGGCAGCGGATGGGCGAGGCGGAGCGTCGTCCCCTTTCGTCTTCCTCATCCTGCCCCCGTCGTTATGCTTCTCCTTGATCGTGCCGCTTCGGAAATAATCATAATCCGGCAGCCTGTCCCGGGGGAGCGGACAGCTCAACAGCTGATTGTCTGCAGTTGCGTCCTTTCCTCGGGCGTCGGGCCTGCTCGGTAGCCTGTTGCTTCGCCTTTTCATGAAGAGAAAACAAGCAAAACTATATTAAAGAGGTCTGTCTCACGATCACTGGTTAGTTGCGCAAGGCATGACAGGGTATGCACGCAGCGGAGCTTACGCCGTTGTTAAAGACGAAACTGTAAATATATAAGCGTATGGACACTTAGATAACAGAAGGTGCTTACTGTATACTAGGAAAGAGCAGAGGAAGAAAATCAGTTTGCCTTCTTCCTCAACAGCAAAAACAACAACAAAGTCATGGAAGGATGGTTTCTAAAATCTGCCAGTTCCAACAATATCGGAAAGAGGTAGTCCCCTAAAGAGGTTCCCCGAGCTGCAGATTTCACTTGGAAAGAACATGGTACACTTGAAAGAACACTTGAACAACAGTCTGCTAAATAGTTGAAATCTAGAGAAGTTAGATGCATGCTTTTATCTATTTATATTTTACAAATCTAGGCACGCTATGTAATTATGTTCTTGCTGTCAGTACAGGAAACTGTATTTTATAGTAATGAACCTCTTGTAGTATAAGCAATTTCTGTAGAACATTTATAGTGTTGAGATTTATTTGGATTATTTTCTAGATTTAGTTGGAACAAAAAAAATCTGAGATTACATTTTGAAGATTTATAAAAAGGCCAGTTCTTGTTTTTTCCAAATGAAGCATTTCTTAAAAGTCCAAAAAGGGCAGAGGATTAAATATTCTACTGGGAATGTAATAAGCACACTGTAGTGAACTATCCTTAAAGACAGTCCAGGTAGGCCAGTCAGAATTAGGATGAACAATGAACATTGTAAAACTCTCTTTTGCTTTGTCTTGAGATTTATTTTAGTTTGGTAAGAACATTTTAATTGTTGATATATGGAAAAAAAGTGTGACTTAAAATAGAGTTAAAATATCCCTATTTATTTTTGTCAAAATGGTATTTTCTTCCTTTTGAATAGCATTTGGTTGATGTTAGGGGATGTTATCAATAGGTAAAGTTTATGAATTAGGAATACAGGTTATGATGGGGGCTATGATAATAATGGGTGCAGGTGAGAATTCTTAAAACTTGACAGCAGTCTAGGAAGCAGTGGTTATAGGCTAAAACAGAATATTTTGAAGATGACAAGCTTTAAAGTATATACATTTATTGGTAGCTCTGTAGCCACCTCTTGGTAGCTTTTCTTTTTTTTATTTTCTTTTCTCTTCCTCTCCTTTTTCCAGATAGAGCTATTTTTGACTGCTCTCATTTCCTTGTTTGAGTGTGACATCAAATCTTGATAGCATCCCAATTTAAATACAAGAAATGTGTAAACTTCTGAGCTAAATTCATTTTTAAAATGTTTGAATTATCTGGAATCCTGGGCTCTTCTCCTTACTTCTGTGCTAATACTGCTTTGTTTATGGGGCTCTTGTAATAACTAAACTGATATTTTCAGTTTTGTAGAGTGTGCCGCCTGCTTTGCAGAGTCTTCAAGCCATCCACAGCCCTCAGCGAGGAACAAAAAAAATGTACAGTAGGCTAGATTCTTGGTTCTGCCAATTCTGAAAGAATTAACAGAGACTCAGAATTATAGATTAAAAGTACCTTGTGCTTATGAAATCTGTTTGCTTGATAATGCAGGATTATATAGCTATGAAGCAGCTGCTGATGAGAAGATTGCTCATATATTGGTCTTCTTTCCCAATGCAGTCTGCCCTTAAGTTTACATATTACCACCTCCAAATTAATTGCTTTTATAAATGTATAATAGAGCAGTCGTTACCACTTAAAATTAACAGCAGATTTACTTAGCTGGTTCTCCATCTCTACGCTGACTTACTGCTGAACAATACCAGCTCAGTGGCTAGAACGATTACAAAGTATTTAAGTTTAGGCCAGTGAAACAAACGGCCTAAAGTTAAGCATTCTATGTTTATACCTCTGATTCCACAAGATGAAAAAAGCGTTTGGAAGCCAGTCTTGCTCCTCCCCCAGCAATGTGAGTTCTGTCCTTGTGCGTTTCAGAAGCAACTGCGGTGCAACTCCTGAATTAAGTGAGGGTAAAATTTAATAAACTGTGAAATACTCACTTTGTAAACTTTCACGGGAGACACTAAGATGTGTTCTGTTTGGTTCCTCTTTTATTTCTATTGTATTTCTTTTTCCGTTATTTAATTCTTTAGAATGGGAATAGGTTCCCTGGGACATGGGAAATCCCATTAATATCGCCCAAGCCCCTGCTGCCTACTGTTTGTATTTGACTGTTGTCAAATGTATTTTTAAAAGGCTGCTTTGGCACTGGGCAAGAAAAAAAGCCCCTGTTCCCACTGTTGTGGATACGTAGCACGTATAAACTCTCAACAGCTGCCTAGCTCGTACTTTTTTGTGATGTTTAATAGGCACAACAAATGCATACGTTTCCTTACCCTATCTGTTTGCAGGGGATGTGATCAGCCTTGGAGACCGACAGCTTACTGTCATGCACATGCCTGGTCATTCAAGAGGCAGTATTTGCTTACATGACAAAGACCGGAAGATTCTGTTCAGTGGAGATGTTGTGTACGATGGATCCATGATTGACTGGCTTCCCTACAGCAGAATAAGTGACTATGTTGCAACCTGCCAGCGTCTCATAGAGTTAGTGGACAGAGGTCTTGTGGAGAAGGTACTCCCCGGGCATTTTAACACCTTTGGAGCAGAAAGGCTGTATCGTTTAGCTTCCAACTACATTTCACAAGCTGGAGTTTGTCACAGAGTTTCCACTTGTGCCATGAGATCCATTGCAAGCATAGCACTTCGTATTACAAATTCTAGAGCCGCTTCTTCGTGACAGTGCATTTTGTGTGATTTATTCCCTGTTGCAAAACCAAATGGCTTGTGAAAGCATTGAGAAAGGCAAAAGCCGTATGCATTAGTAAAGAGCTGGCAAATTGATATGGATGAGCTGTAAAAATACTCCTTATTTTGCCTACTTTATTCCTATTTTTTAAAGAAATACATAAGCTAGTAGCTTAGCCAAAGCTACCGTTTTTCTTTCTATTTTTCAGGGCGTGTTTGCACATGTATTGTGATTGCCATTTGACTGCAATTTGAAATACATTGCTTTATTTTTGATATGATTCTGACAGATACATATGAAATACCAAAATGAAAGGTTTTACATGCCTAAAACTCATGCCTGAAACTTTTTTGATGTAGCATTAGGGTAAAGGTTTTATTTGTGTTTAAAAGTATTTTTATGTGGCTGGATTGTAACTTGGCTGTTCGTCCTTCTCCCCCACCACAGAGCATTGAGGCTCTACCGTTCCCTTGTCCCTGTGTCTCCACAGTGCAGACACTGGATTAAACATCTTGTACACTTGTTACCATGGAGTGAATGTAACTTGAACTGTTTACCATTTGCATATGAAACGTTCTGGTACTTATATTGTTATGAGAAGTAAAGAGCATTGCATTTGAGTCTATTCGAAAAAAAGTTGAATGCATTGAAAAAATGTTAAATGACGTTGTAACTTGCTTATTGGGGTGGAAGTGTGATATTTTTAAAAGTTGTTGAAATGGTTAAAGTTTGTGTATTTATTCTAATAGCTTATATATTTAGCTTCTGTAAAAGGACACTGTCTGATGTTATTTTTGTATATGAACATACATACTTTCCTAACAAGATTGGTTTTTCTCTTAACGTTTTCCTCAAACTTAGCAGAGTTTAATCTTACTTGTTTGGCTTTCCCTTTATGTGGAAGCATTTTTTTTTCCCTCTGATGATACCAAATAGAAAGCAAGCTCAAATTATGGGCTTTAAGGCACGGGGGTTAGAAATTAGTGGTCTTCTCAATAGGCTAAATTCTGATGAGGGGAGAAAAAAAACCTACTTTAGAATCTAGATGCAAAATAAAAGTATTTTTGATCAAAATTTATGAAGGAGGAGATCTCACATAATATTTTTCTTCTCTTTTCATAGCTGAATGCACTCCTGTTTTTAGTATTTGAATATATCCTCCACCAATAGTAGTACTGAGAGGTTGTGACATGCACAGTTCTTGATAGCAGTGCCTATTTCCCTTTATAAGCTGAGGCAAAATTGCAAGTAGGTGGACAGATGTAACAATGTCATACTTGGAAGACAGGTTATCACTTGGATCATAGTCTCTCTTTTAGAGAAATCTTAACTATTTTAGTGTATTATTGAGGAATGTTTAATTAGTGGATAGACTTGTCACAAATGAAGCTAAGAACTATTTATATTGGTCTCATAGGGCCAGAGGAAAAAATGTAGTCAGTCTGGGGTGGAAGAAGTCATTCAGTGAAGAGGCACAAAAGAAATTTCACATTGTGGTTTTCTTTCTTTCCCTGCTGACTGACACCTGCTGTTATTTAGGTAGCAGTCCCAAATTATTCTTGAGGGGCAAGGATTCACAGATGGGCAATCATGCCGATCTGTGGTGGGAAAGCTTACACCAGTTATCTGGATGAGACCATGTGTTACAGCTTACCCAGAAATAACATTTGATTGAATTTCTGCAAATAAACCACCTGTAGCATAATACCGATACAAATCTTTATGCTCTGTGAAGGCTGTAACAGTATCGGTGATACCTACAGTAGACAAGAGATATCTATTCTTTCATAAAGCCCACCAATATTGAACTTAAGTTGATTAAAAAAAAAATTTACCAGTGTTAATTAGTCAAGTGAGATCACACTAACTTAGTTTTGTGTTGTACAGTTCTGTTTTATTTAATCCAGTCTTAGGAGCCCTAAAACCTGATTCTGCTGTATTGGGAAGCCTAAGCTCCTATCAGGAGGCTCACAGGCATGCCAATTCAAAAGGAAAGATACTGTCTATCACTTGTGTTTAAATCTGTGCTCAGTTCCAGCTGTGCTCAGTATCAGCTACAAGAGCCTTAAATGTTCAGATCACAGGCAAAACACCATGTTAAACCATGCTTAAGCCTATGAAGTCTATGTCAAGGAAGAAACTTGACAATTGCTGTTATCTACAAAAATCCCTGGAATATTTCCCAAATCAGCAGTGAGCTTAATGTGAACATAGCCTGGAATGGTATGTTAGTAAACCGCTGCTGTAATCCCATTGAAAGAAGTTGCGAGTCTTAACATTATTTTTGTACTATCAGAAATTCACTACTAAGTAAATGACATGTTTTAAATATAAAGTAACTGGCTCTGACTATTTTTGTTTAAGACTACAAAGTTTTAGTCCATAAGAGTTTGACAGTGTCCCTTTAACACTGCTTGCAGTAAGTATTTAAAAGATGTATGTTAAGTTTAAATGTTGCAACATTTTGGACATTTAGAATTGTTGATTTATTTGTAAAATCTAAATCAATGTATATTACTTCAGTTTTCAGTAGACTGCGGAATTTATGAAAAATTCACATGAGAATTTTCTCTAATGTGTCAAGACTTTACTGATGGTGAATAACAGTTTTCACAGAAGAAACATTTTATCATGGATATCATAATAAAAACATTGTAAACTTATGCTGTCTAGTTATAATTTGTAGGCATCTTGAAAAAAACTTTCATTTTAAGTGGATTGCAAGATCTTTAAAAGTTGCTAGCAGTGTTTAGTCTTCTGAGCAAGAGACTGCATTACAAACTTTCATTTATCACAGATTGATGCTGCAAAGTTTATACAAAACCATGACTAGATGCTACTTAAAAGATATTTTAAAAGCAATTCTAATTTAGCTTGTGTTGATGGAATTAGCATACAGAAAATTTGGATCTGATGGAATTATTTCTTGGGGATCAGTTTCAGCTTAGGATGACTTAGATTGTTATTTCCACACAAGGCAGTAGCTAATGATAGCTGTTTACTGTAGCTGAAACAAAAAAAATGGTCACACAGCTTCTGTTTAACAGGTAACTGGAGCATGAAGCAATGCCTAGCTAATCCATTCTATATAATCTGCTTCTGGAGGCCTGAGTAGTGTGGACCGTGGTGATACATGGATGTGCAAAAACTGGTGTGTCTGCAAAGGCCTCAAGAGATGGGAACGGGGCCTTCTAGGAATCAGACATCCCTGACTTGGGAGGAGTACTTTTATATTATTTCATTTGGTGCCTAGGGCAGATCTTGTCTTTTTGATGGAATCACAAAAAAGGCCAGTAACTTTCCTCAGACCTGAATGATCTGTACTAATGGGAGATGTGAAACATTTATTTAAAAAGAAATAAAATGCAGAGCAAATTTTTTTTTTAATTCCACTTTTTTTATAGTCAGTAGCCATCACATATTGCACACCAATTTTTGCATATGTATGCGACATCCCCTTCTGCTGGAAAGCTTAAAGCACAAAGGAATCAACAGAAGGTGGTTAACTGTTGAAGTTAACTGGTACAGAAGTTAAAGCTTCATGGAGTTTAATGCCAGTGAATAACAAAAGCAGCTATTTTAATGGAAACCAGCAGAAGAGAAATATGATCATATAAAACCAAGATTAAATGAAGAAAATACATCTGTTAATTCATTAAGGATATATTTCCCTCCAGGCAATTGGTAACTGGACTTCAGGGATACCATGGTGGTTCAGTTAATATAACATCTCATTTGTTCTCTTAGGAGTTCCACTGTTGAGGTACAGTCTTCAAGTGAATCACTTTCCATATTAGCTCAAATACAATCTTATTTTCAAAACTAGTTTACCTCATTAGATTTTGAATTGTATGGGATACTAGTGATAGAACTTGGAGGTAACTATGGGTCAACAGAAAATGAATTTACTAGGGAAATCATAATGAAGTAATTAATAGGGAAATAAAGCAATTACATGAAGATAATTTTAAACTATGAGGAAGGTAGTTTTATATAAAGAATAAAAAATTGAGGCAGTTACAATGAGATGTTTCCAGTAAAGAAAATTAGTCAAAATTAAACATAAAAGCAGAAGGCACCTTATCAATATAAAATAGAACTAACCTGATGTGTCTCACCACCATTTTAGAAAATTATATATTGTATTCCATTTCTCCAATAGAGTGTCCACCTTTGCAAGTATCATCATAAAAATAATCATTTACATTGTTTCCACAACTATATCAATTTATGTTGTCAGTGTTAGGAGCTGCCAGATTGGGTAGCCTTACAGAGGCAAGGCTGCCACAGCTCCATGTCACCAGATCCGGCCAGTAGCAAGGCTGAGCACGTACTCCCAAAAGGCACACACACACACAATGTGTATACACATACACACAGCTGGCCACACAGTTCAACACAGACAGAAACACTCAGCACTTGCACAAACACAAACAGTAGCAATGGCACTCCTCCTTTTCCTCTCTCTAGCAAGTCAGGATGTAGATCTGCTAGTAGGAAATACATGGATATATACGTGCATGTATACAACATGGATGCCTCCAGTAACTGCTCTTAGACACTCAGCCCACCCATAAGCTGCCCCGGGTCCCTGCTCTCCCCTGCAGCAGGCACCTGGGCACGTGAGCCCCCAAGGCCTGCTGCCCCAGTTGCTGGTACAGACCTCCTTGCTCAGAAACATAAATGAACACCCCCCAGACACACACGCACACTATGGATCCCCCTGTAACTTAGACACTCTCTACCCGGTAACTGTCGCCTTGGGTTGCCTCACAGACAGGCACATGCAAACAGGTCTCTTAGTTGACCCGCAGATCCCATAATCGTCCCAGTAGCTCGCTTGGGCCTCCTGATGCCTTGCAGATCCTCTGGTCTCTCCAATATCCAGCCCAGACTTAAGGCAGCTTTGATACCTTGCTCTCAAGCCTCTTACTCTACTTGCCAGCTAGTTTAGCTTGATATTCACTAGCAATCACACCGGCATATGTACACACATAATATGCACACACTCTGGTCTCTCCAGTTGCTGGCACTGCAGAGGCAAAGGCCCCTATGACCTGTGGTCTCCACTCCAGTTGCTGGCACGTAGACCTCCATACACACCCATGCATACAGAATAAAGAGTCCCCTCCCCCAGAAAAATAGTTAGAAATGGAGTTGGGTAACAATATAGGACAGTGATCAAGCACCAGGCATGGCCAGACAAGCGTATGTTTTTATACACAATCAGCCCTTTTATCTTCTTATCCATTTTCCCCACATGTGGTCCTCCCTGCCACCTTGATTCCTCCCTTTTCCTGCATTTGGTTCCTCCCCTAAACATCCCATAATAAGTCTTGTACAAGCTCAAGATGCTCTTCCTTTGCATCCCATAACAAGTCTTACACCCTTGTAGGTAGAAACGCCTTCAGCCTGAAAGGTGATCAGGAGAGCCTTTCCCGTTCTCACCTTGACAGGTTTCACGCCCAGACAATGGGGCTGCTTGCCTGTCTGTGACAGCCCAGGGAGGAACTATTTCTCAGATGAGATTATTGGGGTTCCCCGCTTGGCATTGTTCCTCTACCCTCCTTGGTGTCCATGGAGATAAGCCTTTTCTCAACCTAAGCGTCAATACTAATCAAGATGATAGGCTGTCATCTTTTCAAAGTGCTGCACAACTATTTATTCATTATTCCCCATTACACATCTGGGAACAGGGGACCCATTTTCTAGAGGAAATTAGACATCTCCACTGACATCTGAGTTCTGTAAATTGTGACAGTCTGCAACATGCAGATCTCAGTTTTGAAGAAGGGTATGCAAAGTCTTTCACTGTTATCAAGGGTCAGTAATAAGTCCAGATGCACATGAAGATTTAGCTGCATTGGGTCACAACAGCACAAGATGAAAGACTTCATCGCCCTACGTTCAAGCATTTCTCCTGTTGCCCTAACTCCATGCCCCAGTTTGAAGTGGAATCACAGTAAGACTGCCAGGTGTCAGTAGAATCCATCATAGCTCACTACTAGTTTCTCAATGAATGGGTTTGCCTACAAGTTGAAGAAAGTTGTTACGTACACTGTTTTTTTGAGAAGTGTGAAAATAATCATATTCAATATGATAATTTGTAGTAGCAATAAGAATGAATTTTTCATTGATATTCAGCAGTTAAGAACATAGATTTGCTTTGCAGATGAGGAGTCAAATGCTTCATTGCAGTTATGACAGCTACAAGATACAGGACTGAAAAAGGCCACCTTGAGGTCATCCAGTCCATCCTCATGCACAGAAGCAGAATATTTGCCTAAAACCTGAGGTTTGCAGGTCTGTCTGCCCCCACTCTTCCAATACCTTTTCACTTTCTAGTCCTTTAACTACCTCATTTTTTGCCCTTTCTGTTACCAACTTTTTCTGCCCACATCCTGCTCCTGTCTCTTCTCTCCTACAACCTCTGCTGCTACCCACTCCCACCTACCCTGACTTCTGTCTGATGACACCTCCTCATCAGCCTGATCATCCCCACCACCCTCTCCCCCCTCTTTCTCACTTGGAGGAATAGATGTGTTCTTCTTAATAATGTTCTTCAGCACCAACCTCTGGAACAACTGACCTGGAGTGCAAGCCAAGAAACCTGACAGATTACATGGCAAGAATAGCCCTGTGATTTACCAACCCATGATGATGGTGATGCCACAAATGCCTTATTGCTTGTAGGTTTTTCTTCATATTCAGTCCAAGTTTCCCTTGACCACAAATTAAGCTGTTACTCTTGGATACAATATACTTACCTTTTACATAGCAGAGAAAGGTTCTCATCTCCTATAAGTCTTTGTATGTCATGCTTGCTAAGATTAATACCTTTGCTTTCCTTCCTCCAAATCATTCCACTTTGTTTACTTCTTTCTTAAAGTATGCTCTGCAAAACTGGGCTTAGTAGTCTACTGAAGTCTCATTAGCTCCAAACACAATAGAATAGGTTCATCCTTGCCTTACATATTGGCATCCTTCCTAATATATGATTTTTTTTGATTCAAATTCATATTTCTGGCCTAATGCAATCTTCATACTCTTTTCTGTAATAGTATTTTTTACCCAATTATTTCCCATTTGGCATTTCTCCATTTTGGTTTTCTCCTATGAAAGGCAGCGCTTTCAATTTGTTTTCATTCCACTTCATATTACTGGTTCCAGATTACCTTGCCAATTTAGCAAAATCATTTTAATTCTGATCCTGTCTTCCACCATGCTTAAAACTCCTCTTAACCTGTGTGTGGAGAATTTACACATCTGACCTTCTCACAGCTTAGCAGGTAGGGAAGCAAGCCAGAGAGTTTAAAAAGGTTCCTGCAGTCACAAAGAATATCTTTGCAGAAGTAAGAACAGTATTCAAGCTGTCACAAAGTTTTCTATCTCTATGCCTTCATCTGATATTCAGCTTATCTTTTGGTCATGTGAAAAGGATTTCTTTACAGCACTCAGTGTTTTGGTTCATTCTTTGACACCTGCAGTAGTTATGAAAAACAGTTTTTATTTTTAAACATTTAAATTCAATCTAATTCCAGTTTCTCACTGGTTATATACAATTTCTATTTACAGCAACTATGAATCTTTTGCATTATTTTTGCCATATCAAACTACACCTTACAGATCATAACAGAAGCTACATTATGTGGTAGCTCTCTCAAACAATCAGAGAACCTTTATATAAAATCTTCCTTTTAATACATGTGAAAATGAAACATCAGTTACTTCAATACTACACTGTCTCACTTTACTTTTACATCAGAGAACATCTATTTGTCATCACCTCACTATGAAAGAAAAAATAAGATGTTCCTGCTAAAGAGAAAATTCTTAGGTGCAGCAGAAAAAGCATCCTTAGTGTTGAATTCCGAATTGTACATTATATGAATAGAGCTCAGAAGGAGCTTCAATACAAGTGCTGCTAAAGCCTAGTGTAAAACCTTGCCCTTTAAGAAAAGCAGAGATCTGCAACCACAGGAAATTAAAAATGGAGATCTTTTAAGACAGAGAGAAGGAAGGGGATAAGGATGAAAAAGAAGACAGTAAAGGAAGAATTATGAATATTAACTTTTAACAGCTAGAACTAAGAATTCAACTAACACCATGTCAAGTTATTATTTATATTTTTAACTAATGCATGGATTGCTGTATTAACAATTTCAATAATAAGTACCTCTTATGTCTTAAGAATTCAGCCAAATTTCATCCAAAGTGCATGCTTCTTCAGTGCTTTCATGTCCAGATTGAATCAGCAAGCACAGGAACACATAGAACTGAAAAGTAATCAGAAAACAATTGGTGTTATTTAAAGTTCAGATAAAACCTAAGTTTAAAATATTCTATACAGGTTTGGTTGGTGGAAACCTATTTTATCTTAAACTGTATTTATACTGCACACACTGTTGTAGCACAGGGATAGCCAGGCTAGTTTAAAAGTCCTCTGAGGTGCATAATTAGCACAGATAACTCTGTAACATGCTGTTAAACTGCTTTGCTACCTGAACTAGCTTATACATTAACATCACAGTGCTTTGTGTAGTGCAATCATACTGCCAAGCCAATTAATACTTCCATAAACTATGTACAGGTAGAAAATCTTATCTCTGTTCCTCTCCTATATTCCTAAATAAACCTAACAGAAAGTCACTACTCGCTACCTACAAGCCTGTGCAAGTGCAGCAGGCGCTCAGTGCTCAACCCCCCTCATTCAGGCTCACTAACGGCTGCTGCAGCAAGCGGCGTGCCAGGAGCAGCAGCTTCGCCACCTGGTGGCCCCGCTGCACAAGCGCAGGCAGGAGCTGCGGCCATACCTCCAGGCCTCGTTGCCCATTAAAGTAACGGCTAGCTTATCGGCCTTGGAGGCAAGAAGGCAGTTTTCTAGCTCCTCTGTTGAGTTTAGGAAAAGAGAGCAGAACGCAGATCTCCACTTCTCTGAAGTGTATCAAGAGGATCATTCAGTAACAGGCATGCGAGTCTACCTGCCCTGAGAGCAGCAAGAAGGCAGGTGCTCTGTGAGGGAGGACAAGCTGGAAGGCAAGAGCAACCAAAGCGCAGGTAAGGGTAGCAACCTCTTCAAGTGATGAGTCCCAAGGTACTCACGCAGGGGCAGTGGCAGCAACAACAGGCTCTACCAACAGTCCAGCGAGTACCAGGCAAAGGCAAGGTGATGACTTAAGGCCAAGCCAGAAACACCTGTCAATGACACAGCAACAGAGCAGAGAGGCATAAGGACAGGCCTACTCACAACACTGCTCAGGCTAAGTCTGAAGGCCTCTGGCCTGGGCGTAAATGGAGCTCCAGTGTACCAATAGGCAGAGGGTGTGCTGGCAGGGCACCCAGGTGAGCCAGGGCTGGGCAGCTGAGGCCTGTTGGTGTACTCAGGGCCCTGCCGCTCCCTCTCCCATATGCCAGGTGAGTGTTTTCACCACTCAGACAATCCTCTCTAGTTTTGTATGAAGTGCAAAAGTATCAAATTAGATGTTTTTTGCTGATATGTTTGTTTACCAGAATGCCTAGCATCCCAATGTAATCAGTACTGAGTGTTAAGTAACCACCACACAGTGCTAACATCAGCGATCAGGACCTGTACTAAACTCCCAACTTCAAACTGGGGAAAAATAGGATTTGAAAACAGATGTACAATTACTCAGATGAATGCATCTAATTACAGACCTAGCTGAACTGCAAGAAGCGAAATGAAAAATCTCTAATAAAGAATCTCTTTTGTTGCAGCTTCTTCACTGCAGCACAGGTCCAGGGTCAAACCTGACAGTAATTTATGCTTTTAGTTACAAAAGTGCCATCTGCTAATGGTAGGCAATTACAAATTTCTTACAGTGTCTCTTGCCTACTTGATCTGTGGAGCAGAGATAATATGAAGCGACAGCCAAACAAGACTCCTCCCTGCCTTATTTTGCTCAGGATAAATGTGTCTTGAGAACGCCTAGTGAATCAAGCTCACACAGAATTCAACAGCGCATACCCAGAATCAACCTGCTACTGGTACACAAATCCAGAACCTGTGATTGGCAAAGCCTATCAGGGCTGCAGAGATTTAATTAGCACTGTCTGCTTTCACTATTATTGGAAAAGTAGCTCTCCGCAGATGTAAACCACCTAAAGATTATGTTGTCAATCAATAATGAATATTGACAGAAGCAAGATTTAAATGCCTAAAGGCATTCTTCACTACCTAAATCTTTTTAGTAAGTCTAGTCAGACTAGTCACGAGCAGAAAAGACCTGAATGTCCATGTGGGCCAGCTAGTAACATAGGGCTATGCTGTTTAGTATGGGTTATTGAACATTTGTGTTTGCTATGGGCTTCCAGAGCGGCAAGGTGGAAGGGACACGTACTGTGTCACTAACCAGCCTTGCCTAAGGTGACACTTTTTAAAGTCATGGTTTTCTTATCAGTGTAACGAACGTTTCTCCCTCTCTTTATACCCACTCAGAGAACGTAGCGCTGGCTAACTCACTGGTTTGCATAGCCTGAACATATTAGCTGCAGTGAGAACTGGTACTATATATTGAGGTCTCTGATCTTGCGGATCACTGTAACATGGATCGTTCCCCCTCCCCAAAATTTATGAAGGATGCAACTTTTTATACTAACAGCAGACTGTAGATAGCAAGAACAAGAATCATAGTAACCACAGTTAACTTTGCAAGGGGTGACAAAACAGGTTTCACACCTATGATTTAATGCATTTACTTTTAGGAAGGGAAATCAAGCAAAAATGCAGAAAGGCTGGAAAAAAAGCATTTCCACGTAATCATTTTATATGTAACTGTGTAAACATCTTTATAAACCATATTCTCCCCTCAGATTTTTCTTGAGCTTTTATACAGCACGAAAAAGGAAAAGAGTGCATTACCCTTCTTTTGGGACAGCAGCACTTTCAGTCCCACCGTGAATTACAGTATTAAGTAGTGGAAGCGCACAGCAGTGTTCAGTATCAATTTTCAACTGCCACAGAACTGGCCAATTTGCCAGTAACGTACAGCACTGTTGGCTAAGCGGCAATCTAACACCGTGCCTGACCCCCGGCACTAGAAGTTAGGCGGCCCCCCCCCAGAGCTCCTCCACTCTTCCGCTCGTGACTGTAGTTTCAGACTCAAGATGGCGCCCTCTAATCCAGAGGCCAGAGCAAGGATGAAGCAGGCATAGCCCTGGAACGTGAGGGGCTTTTCTGTGAAAAGCCTCGGCACCTCCGTGCTGGAGCGCTTTGTTTTCCTCCCTCCCCGATCGGCGAGGCGGAAAGGGCGACGAGAGGCGACGTCCGGCAGTAGCGCGCCACCGCCCCCATAATTGAAACGTAACCACCCTCTTCCCCGACGTTCAAAGCGTAACCGCCCTCCCCGCCCAGCAACGCCAGGGCCGCGCGGCATTCTGGGTAACCACGCCTCCCTCACAAACAACGAGGAGGAGCACCCCCCCCCCTTGAGCGGCAGGCGCCCCCACCCGCGAATGCGGGCCGCG